TCATTAACCCTCCTATATTTCCCAAATGATGAGCAAGGACATTTTCTCAGTATTTCCGTTAATATTTTTTTCTTCTGGAAAAAGTCTTATTTGTTTTATTTCCGCTAGAATAAAAGCAGTTTTAATTTTTAAAACCATTTAAGGTCAAAATTAGGCTATATATATATATATATATACATACATATATATATATATATATATATATATATATATATATATATATATATATATATTTTTTTTTTTTTTTTTTTTTTTGTTATACAATGACTTGCCTAATTACCATAACTTGCCTAGTTATCATAATTAACCTAGTTAAATTGCACTTTAAGCTGAATACTAGTGTTATACGATCACCAGCAGTGTTGCCCTTGTAGGCTGCTGCAACACTCCCTATCATTCACTCAACTATTCATCTGCCACTGAACTGAACTACAAATCCCATCATTCTTTGCACTCACACACCAGTTCCATATCCCCCTTGATTGCACAGTTACAGCTGAAGCTGTTCAGGACTAATCAGTCTATAAACACAACATACACCACGTTGCTGAATCTTGTTAGCTGTACGTGAGCAATTCTAAGTGTTTTCTCTCTAACTGTCTTTTTCCTTTGTTTGTTTTATTGTTTACATTGTTTTGCTCCCTGTCCTGACCATGGATGCTTGGGTCCTCACCTCCATTGTCAACCCAGGTCATTACAACTAGTCATTATGGCAAAGATAAAGGAAATTAGTTAGTAAATATGTTTAGAAATGTGTTGGGGAAAAAAAGAATATTGAATAATCCTGACCTCACTGTGAAAAAAGAGTGATTAGTTGACTTTACTTAAAAGTGAGTAAAACTGTTACCTTAACATTTTTATGTAAATGATCTATGTGCATAATTATAAAGCCAATGTAACTTTCAAGTTACAACAGGTTTACTTATTTTTTTAAGTAAAGTCAACATCACTTTCAAAAGATAATGAGTTCATGATCACTCACTTTTTTGCAAATTCTCAGTTTCTTTGTATTTGAGATTTATAGTTATGTTCTTGAGTAAAAAATAACAATAAAAGGGTGACATTTCCAAACATGTTTATATTCATTTTTGGACACAAAGATGATACCATTGTTTAGGTACCAAGGTAATATCATTAAGCAAAAAAGTAATACAGCGGGGAAAATAACTATTAAACAAGATGCTTTAACTATTAAAAAAGATGCTGTTGACTTGCAATTTTCACTGGATGTTAATAACAACCAAAGAAATCCATATAGGCAAACAAAACAAATCTGATTAGTTTACAAGTGAAGTTATGTGTAATAAAATTAAATGGCACAAAGAAAAAATATTGAACACATGAAAAAAGGGAATTGCAAAAAGGCAGTGAAAGCCCAGACAGCAGCTGAAATCTCTCAGTAGTTCTTCAGCAATCCTCTGCCCTTCATCAGTATAAATGAATATCAGCTGCTTCAGTCCAACATCTACATTAGCAGGAGGATGAAAATTAAACTAGGGTGGACATTTCAGCAAGACAATGATCCAAAACACAGCCAAGGAAACTCTCAAATGCTTTCAGAGAAAGAAAATCAAGCTGTAGAATGGCCTGACCAATCACCTGACCTGAATTCAATAAAAAAAATACAAAATAAAGCTCAGATTTGATAGCTGAGATCCAAAGAACTATCAAGAGTTTTACATTCTGTTAAAGTCTGTGAAAAACTTGTGTGACTTTATTCTCCATATAAGAGGCGCCTTTAACCGGCTGTCATTAAAAAAAAGGCTTTTATATAAAGAATTAAATACGTTTCAGCAGTTCAGCGCTTTCTCTTTGTGTCATTTCAGTGTTATTTCACGTAAAAACAATCAGAGTTTGTGTTTTGCTTAATTTTCATGTTTGTATTTTTTGGGTTTTTACTAAAATCTGCTTTAATCTCATGTCAAGAACTATTATTCCCAGGAAAACAGTACTTATTTTCTCCGCTGTATGTAATAATTTGTATTTAAGTTTTATTTTTAAAGGTATGAAACTTTTTTATAGGGTTAAAATACTGCTTTTTACGTTATTTAGATTATTTAACTGCCAAAAATGTGGCCACAAATTTAATTAGCTGCTCATATAACTTGTTTCATAACTCAGACAATTTAGAAATATTTGCTGGACTGTAAATTTAACAATGTTACATTATTAGCTGCTTGTTGCTTTACTGTCACAGATTTACTGCATACTTAATAGTGTGCTTTCGTGTGTGCGTGCTTGCGTGCATGTGTGTGTGTGTGCTTCATTCCTGTAAAATTCAGCCAGCCAAATGTACAATGAGATCTGAGACAGGTCTCGTAATCCAGTGCTGTAAATAGACTTACAGTCCTCCTGTTATTGACCCGATATGAAGGACACCAGTTACACACACACACACACACCCCCACAAGAGAATATCTGAAGAACACATCCTGCTGGATATTTTTATCTGGTTATAAAGAGAATCATACAAGGAGGGATTGTGTGTGTATGTGTTTGTGTTTTTATGTGACAGGAAGAGTGAGGAAGAAAGAGAATTGTAATATATATGAGTATTTGTGTAGAATATTAGGATTTACAACATTCATAGATCAGTTTTGTGGAAGTGCAAAGCTGCGATTGGTAGTTTGGTTTCATAGTTTTAAGTTTGTGTTGCGGAATTGATTGTTTTAACCCCTTAAAATCAAGATTTAACTGGAAGTACGGAGGTTTTGAAAATTTTATTTAAAATAAAACGCATAAAACGAAAGTGCCCTGACTTTCTGGAAATGTGTGTGTATTACATTCTAGCTTTGATACTTTATTAAAGGGTCATCTTTTGTGAGCTGTTTGGACAGAACTGTATGTAGGAATAAAGTCTTCACAGTCATATTCGAGTGATATAAAGCCAATAGGTCTCTTTTTTAAATTTTCTGATGTTAAAATAGGATCCAAATCCCTCCCATTTTGAGGCCCCCCGCAACAGGACATAGGAGTGAGGTTTCCCCGCCCACCAAATTGATTGACAGCCGCATATTAACATGTCTCCATAGTAAGGCGTAGAATTATCTCCACAAGACAGGACGTGCCCAAAGCATCCAGGATTAAAAGATCAGTTGGCGCCAACAGCTTAGTGGTTAGTGCGTCGACATATAGCACCCAGGTGCCCGCATTGTATATATTTGTTTATTTATTTGTTAATATATCCTAGATTATTTTTGTTTGGGACATCATTTTATTTTACAAATTGCCACATGGGAACTCTAGACTGCTGTTGGAAGTGGTGTTAGAGAGGCCAGCAGGGGGCACTCAACCTGCAGTCTGTGTGAGTCCCAGTATAGTGAAGGAGACACTATACTGTCAGTGAGCACCGTCTTTTGGATGAAAAGTAAACTGTCCTGACTCTCTGCGGTCATTAAAAATCCTGTGACACTTCTCGTAAAGAGTAGGGGTGTAATCCCGGTGTCCTGGGCAAATTCCCTCCATCATGGCCCCCCAATCATCCCCATGCACCGAACTGACTTTATCACTGTCTCTCCACTCCTCTAAGAGGTGGTGGGTGGTGAGCGCACTGGCGCCATTGTCCTGTGGCTGCCGTCACATCATCCAAGTGGATGCTGCACACTGGTAGTGGTGTGTAGGGATCGAACCCTGTACTGTACTGTAAGGTCAACATGTCATGCAAAAGAAAAGTTCAGTTCAAACCCATATTGCCAAATCTATATAATCTGTAATCTCAGATATTTACCTTATTATAACATCATAACTACGTAGTTTTACAGACCTCATCATTAACTTAAACTCTGCGGACCTGGTACTGGGTCTGTGACGTCATCGACTTTCGCTTTCAGATTTAAAGGGCTAGCGTTGCACCAGACCCCCGTAAGTGGTTTCGTTTGAAAGTGTAGAATCTATATTTTATGGACATATGCATCACTTTGGTTTTTATTCTACTGTATAAAAGTTATTTAAACTTAAATACACAGTATTTTGGATACTGCTAGGTATTTTACATTGGTTCATTTTCATATTTTTTTCATATGACACATGTACAAGTTATAGCTCAAATGAAAGCTCTTGCCGGTGCTCATACAGTTCTAGCATTCTTTTTACTGAATTATATTCATATGCCAAACAGTTGTTGAATGAATTGTGGTGTTTCATGGCGCAGAAATGTAAACAATACATTTATGATCAATAAGCAGCCCCAGATAGCACAGACAGCTGCCATCTCTTATCTTATGCTGTGCGCTTCAGGGCCATTCTCCTCTGTTTTTGAGGTGATGTGCATAAGTAATCCTTTTATATGTCTGATGTGGTCCAAACACAGTGAATTATGTTTGATCAAACAAAAGAATAGTTAAATATGTAAACAAGGATCAGTCCCTGTGACTTGTAGAGCACCTCTCATCAGTTGGAATGCAATAACTTTTGCATAGATTATGGTGGAGACATTTTTCTTTTTTCTTATGATTACAGACATGTGCAGGAACCAACAAAATTAATTACAGCACACTAGACCACACAGAACCTAAAAGGTACACTTTCAAATTTGAGTTTATAAAAAAAATACAAAAAGCGCCTCTTTTTTTAGGTCTTTATTATAACACAGACGACATATACAGTTATTTTAAACACTTTCAATAGTGTTTTATGAAAATTCAAAGGGTTTTCTTTAAAATGATACCACATTTTTGCATTTACACCTCTGCATGTGCATTTGGGAAGCTTTTAAATTTAGGTAGGCATAATCCAGGCGTAAATCCCCAAATAGCAGCAGAGTTTAAGTGGTTAAGCTGTACAAACATCTATATTACTAAGATCAGAAGCTTTCTGAAATTCTTTCTCCTGTCAAAAGCAAGGAATCTCTGACTGCAGTTCACTTAATGGCCATCGGTGTCACTAACAACATGTGGTTTCTGAATTCTACAATAACTTCTTTTTCGATTCAACTTTTCCAACGTTTGGGTGATTTATTCCTGTAATGTTTACCTGACGGTGTGCTCTGTGTTTTATTTCAGTGTCTGTACGGCTGCTATGTCCACTCCTCCATCATCCCCACATTTCACCGCCGCTGCTACTGGCTGCTTCAGGTAAGAGTTCAGTTTCTCCACTATAAATGATGCTTCCGATCCAGAACTAACTAAAGATTTTCCTAAAAACAGCTTTTGTTACCAGATGTTGGCTTGCTGCAATTGAACAGTGGTAATTGAGAGTCATAAGCATGTATGTCAGAGCTTATTAGCTGGTAGAGATTTAATTAAGCACTAGATGTTGCGTTTGTGTGCATGTAATCACGTCACGGATAGACAAGATGCGGCATTAAGGGGCATTTTCTAAGTGAACAACACAGTTCTTATTGAGCATTCACATAGAAGCTAAAATCGATGTGAATCTCTCCGAGACCAGTGAAAACTACCCAAGAGTTGTCTGGAGACTGACAGAAACTATAAGCTAGCGGGACGTGAGGGGTTTTTTTGCACCGCAAGCATCATCAGCGGAGATGTGCAAGCTTTCATTTCTCAGCCACATCATCTACACAGTCTCCAGCTGGCCGTCAGACCGCTGATGCTGCACGGCCAATCACTAGCCATGCTTCCATGCAAAGTTACCAATTTAACTTGTATGGAAAATCGGGATATGATAAACAATTTGCAGCTTAGTTTTGTCTTTCCAATGTTTTTCAAGTGAAAAATGTCATCACTTCTTAATAGAATTGCACAACTCGTCAACAATAGAACTGAAATTAAATGGAACTGGGGAAACCGTTGTAGCTTTGTTTATTACTACACTGCGAAAAATGCGTTTCTTGCTTATTTTTTGTCTTGTTTCTAATCCAAATATCTAAATATACTTAAATTAAGAAGCATTGTCTAGACAAGCTAAACATATTGTCTTGTTTTAAGAATAAATGTGCTTAAACTAAGTGTTTTTCCATAAACCAAGGTAAAGAATTTGCCAATGAAGTACATAAAATATTCGTATGTCCAAAGGAAAAGCAAGATCATTTTGTTTATCCCATTGGCAGATTATTTTGCTAGTTTTAAGGAAAAACTGACTTGGTATATTATTTCTTAAATCAATATGTTGACAATATGTTTTGCTTGTCTAGAAAATGCTTATTGATTTAAGATTATTCAGCTATTTGGACTAGAAACATAAAAAAGAAAAGTCTTTTTTTGCAGTGTACTTAATAAATTAGTTGTTCTTCAGATGCTGTTATGTCATCTTCTGTTCATATGCATGATTTTTGGGAACACAGTCAGTTTATTTCAATGCCAGACTTTGGCTCAGGTGTTTTAAAACGGCTGACAAGCCATTCACAAAGAATGCATCTTTGTGTATAAAAACATGTAAGGAAACAATCAGTAATGGCTTTTGAAAAGCTCAACCTTCACCTTTTTGACATCACATAAAACTGTTATCGTGACAACCTGCTACTGTAAACAGAAGCTTGCAGCTTTGCCTCTGAGTTCTTCTGATTCGGTCTACTTTTTTTTCTTTTTTAAACTTCCCTGGTGCTGCTGGTTGCAATTTCCAGATTTTCATTGCCAATCTTAAGCCAATTGTAATGGTTTGTTTTGATTTAATTTCTAATTTCCCCAACCTGCCGATCCCGGAGGACCAGAGTACGTGCTCCAGCTTGTCCTGCCCTGGTCCTGATCAAGGTTATAACAGTTTTGGATTTTTCATTAGTTTTAGTTTCTATTTTGTTTTGACTTTTTGTTTTCAAATTCAGTTAGTTTTAATTAGTTTTTAGTGGCAGATTTACTAGTTTTTATTAGTTTCTTTATTTTGAAATTATTTAGTTTTGGTTTAGTTTTTATTAATTTCAGTATTAGTTTTATTATTTTTTTTTTTTTTTTCTAAAAAGGATTTTTGTTGGGTCCAAGATTCAAAATTAACAGAATAAACATTATAATAAAAACTCAACCATACATTTTTGAAACCTGTTTTCAGAAGACACAAGAACACTAACTCAAACTCAAATACAGCAGCCCACAACAGCAGCCTTACGTAAAATATGTGTGCAAGGCTGCTTCTGAGGTTAGATACACAGCAGCGATGTGAAGTTCAGATATTTAATGAATGTGGATGTTTGTACTCAACATGGCAAAATTCTGTAGTCAGCAATAGCAATTTACGTCAGATAAAACATCAACATGATCTGAACAATGTCTTACAGTAAATGATTGCCACCCAACTGAAGCATGATTCACTTATTTAAATTCCATTACGATTTTCTGTGATGAAATAAACTTACGCTTTTTCTCCAAATCCTCTCATTTAAGCCCTCTGTGTAACCACGGTTCAGTTGTTCAAGTTTAGTTCAGTCAGAGCAGGCTGTCATGTACTGTCTGTGTTCGGTTCACTGAATCACGCATGCGCAGTATTATCGGTTCACCGCTTCTCAAATTGATCTCAAGTAACGTTACTGTTCTAATAACTGAATAAGAGATATACTGGATTATTTAGAGTCAGAGAGGGGGTATTAGGCTTGGTAAAAAGTAAGTAGTTTGTGGATAAGTGCTTACAGGAGTCGTGAATTTTTTCAAATGATTCAGTTCGATTTGGTGAACTAGTTCAACCGGATTACTTACAAGATCCGGTTAAAAAGATTTGTTCACAATAGCGATACAGAAATAAAACCCATTATTGGGCACAAATGTGTTAAAGCAATAGTTTAAAGTGCCTGTATTTAATGCTGTCACCGTGCTGCTGTCATGTCCACTCGCTGTTTTTGTTGCGGGAGCAACAGTAAGGATGACTCGAGGAGAACCAGCACGATCCGGCCAATGGCTGCAGGACTACAGACTCTGAGGTCCCATACGGTCAAACACCTGCAGTGCGGAATAAATAGATTTCCTTCTAAAAGTCCTAAAGTAAGATTATGTATTAAATACATTTACAAAGATGAAAACGAAGGAGGTTTCTGCTATAATTTTAGCTAGTTTCAGTTTGTATGAACACAATACAGTTACAGTTTTTTTTTTTTTTAACTCTAGTTTTTATTTTTATTTTAGTTAACAACAATTATTTTAAATGTTAGTTTTCGTTTTTTCATTCGTTTTCGTTAACTATATTAACCTTGGTCCTGATTCGGTATACTTTAAAACTGAAAAATGCATTCTGTGTGAATGACCCCTAGTGGTGTTTTTTTTATACAAGTGATTTGTTTTAATCATTCGCTCAGTCAATTTGTTCCAAACACTGGTTTATTTAGTAAAAAAAAAAAACAAGAGAACATTTATATGATTAACAGATTTGAATCTTTCCATTCATTAATTCATTCAAAAACACTGATTCATTCAGTGACAGAAAAAAAAGTATGTTTTTACGAGCGAGTCATTTGAATCATTCCCTCAATCAAATTCTCTGAAAACAATATTTATTTAGTAACAAAACAGGCTGGTGTCTTTATTAGAGAGTGATTTAAATAACTCCTACAACCATTTCATTTAAAAACATCAGTAAAAAAACAAGTGACTTTCTTTAGCGAGTCATTTAAATCATTCACTTACAGTCCCTCACATCTGTCAAGCACGTTTACATAGAAAACAATAGAAAAATAGGTCCCACTTTATATTAAGTGGCCTTAACTAATATGTACTTGCACAGGAATTAATAGTTTGTTACAATGTACTTATTGTGTAAATACATGTATTTTTTGTGTACTTATGCTTGATTAAATACATGTATGTAATTACATCTGTAATTAACTTTTGTAACTACATTTGTAAATACACTGTTGACCATCCCTTACACCTTAACCCACCCTTAAACCTACCCATGCCACCAAACCTGTCCATAACCCAACCTCTATCCCAACTCAAATGCACCACAAATGTTCTCAAATACATTATAAACACAGTAAGTACATTGTATTTATTTTTCGATGTAAGTACATAGTAGTTAAGGACACTTAATATAAAGTGGGACTGAAAAATAGTACTTTTGAATGAAAAAACATGCGTTATCTGAGCACAATTTCAGATGGCATTAAGTTATTCAAGTTATCCGATCAGTTTTTTGTTGTGCACGAAAGAATTTATTGAGTAAACATGATTTCATTGTTTATTTGTATACTCTATTGGGAAAAATGAAGTCTGCCTTAATAGACTGTATAATTTTTTTTTGCATATTTTTGCATTTCCATCCGGGACCGGGTTTATGTGAAACAATGCTATTTACTGTGACTCGTCAAATTGGCTGGTGAAATGAGCAGTCATGCAGGCGATACCATGTGTATAAGATTAGAGTGTTTGTTTGTGTGTGCGAGAGTGTGTGTCAGATCTTGCCTACATTGTTGAGACCAAATGTCCCCTAAAGAATAGTAAATGCTGAAATCATCGACACCGTGTGGAGCAGCGAACAGCGCCCATGAGGAATTGACTTAATAAACATACTAAATAATGTCTTCATGGAAATATAAAAATGCAAAGGGTTCGTTTTAGGATCAGGGGATAGAGAATATTATTAGCGCAGTATAAAAACAATCAATGGAAAATCCACACCATGATAGAAAAGCAAGCGTTAGTGTGTGCTGGTTTGCACTTTGGGGACACGACTGCCTTCAGAAGTGGGCTAAATCTGACTCCTGAGACTTTAAGTGAGAAACAAATCATATATAAAGTAAATATTGTGTTTGTTTTCTAAAAAGTTTGCTTTTAGTCCTTTCAAGAGTTCTCATTTAACAGTGCAACAGCATTGGGGCTCACTGTTTTTGAGAAAACTGTTCATGGGGATTTTCCGGTGTCTCTTTCAGTAGATTTCTGTTGTCTTTTCACATAATTTGAATCATTTGTTAAGCACATTTGTTTTTTTAAATGACTGATAAGTAATTCTTAAAAATTAAGTTAAAAAAATATTTCAAAATTCATGGATAGATTTATTTGAATCATCCGCTTAACTGATTAGTTCAAGAACGCTGATTCATTCAGTAACAAAACAAGTTGGCTTTGAGTCATTTGAATCATCTACTTAACCGATTAGTTCAAGATCACTGATTTATTCAGTAACAAAACAAGTTGGCTTTGAGTCATTTCAATCATCCACTTAACCAATTAGTTCAAGATCACTGATTCATTCAGTA